CGTTAATATCATTTGCAGAACCATCGTACCCCTAAGTATTATCACTACGTTAACCAGAGAACAGGGGCTCCATTACCTAGCTGACATGATGTCTGCCTTACACGGATTAAAGCCCCTGCCTCCAGAAGCTATTTATTATGACTAAGCAGAATAAGTTTACAGTGGCATACAAGGCCTTCAAGAACACAAGAACATAAGTAACATAGTCATAAAAGACCCTAAAGAAAGCATGTTACAAGTAGTACCTATAGCATTCAAACAATAAACCGAGTATACTTTCATAATTTGTACTGAAAATACGAAATACTTTCAAAACTGAGTCCAACTAATTTAAATAAAAACTATAGTACAAACAAAATATAATACATCCATTACTGCATTATACACAATTAATATCAATTAGATTCACAAATTCAAGAAGAACCATTCAATTTAGAAAAAAAAAATGCATAAAGATAAACTAAGACAATAATAAACTGCCAAATAAAATTTTTTCATATGAATTCAGAATTAAGAACCAATAACTTTGATACCTGAACAATATTATCATAAAATACACTGAACCTGAGATATTATTACAATGCAAAACATAAATTTGGTTTAAAAACAAAACCACTCCAAGTAATATAAAAACTCTACATCAGGTTTGCTGGCAACGCGATAGAAATACAGTACAAGAATAATGCCAACATAAATATATGAAAAATTCCGATTCCAAAAACCACATACATTCAAAAATAAGTCAAAGAAAATTATTATAAAATACTGCCTTAAATGCACATTTTACAATAGAGAACTCAAGTAAAACCAATCAAAATTCACAAAAACAGGTCAACTATTCAATTCAGAAAAGTGCAAAAAGGTATACAAAATAATTATTCTAGATTAGGTTTGCTGGCATCGCTAAGACAAATGCAATACTAGAAAAATGCCGACACAAAAATTTTACAGAATTTCAAAATCAAAACAAAATGCATTCAAGATTAAAGTAAAGAAAATTAATATAAAATAACTATCATGAATGCAAATTTTTATAATAGAATGCACAATTAATGCCTATCAAATTCACCAAAGTGAATCAATTCAATTACAAAAGAACGCATTAAAATATGCAAAATAATAAAATTGTCACAAAAATTTTCTGTTAAATTTAATTAACAATTACAAAACTAATAGGCTACAATTAACCGTTACAATTTATAAGAGCATAGATGCATTCAATGTCAGATACGTCTGTTCTACGTAAAACCACTTTTAATTTTAAATCAGTAACATAAGTAGTGGAAACAACAAAACTGAACAATAATAAGCATCAAACACACAAAGTTAAACAATTACCATTATACAGTAAAAATCTAACAGTCGCTGAAAGTCAATTACTCACTCCCAATAGAGATGATCTGAGAGAATTATTTACAGAAAAATTTAATTCCTGACAGAAAAGCATAATTTCCTTAAATTTCTTACTCTCACTAGAGTTTTTTTAATATCATTTCAGCCCATTTTGGCCTGTGTTGATCTAAAGGTTTATTCAAGTGAAGGTTTTTAGTAAATGGACAGTGAAAGATAAAGTGTTCAGGGTCTCCCAACTCCCCGCAAGAACAAAGCTCAGTCGTACGTAGTCCAAATCGAAAGAGATATGTATTAAAAGGTCCATGACCAGTGAAAAATTGAGTATAAAAATTCGATGTGCTTCTTTGACTGAGTGAAACTTTTGGAAAGAAAGAGAAGACTCGTCTTCCTGTGGAGTCATTAGTCCATCTTTCCTGCCATTTCACAAGCAGTGTAAGTCTCGCTCTTCAAGTGTGAAAAAGGCAATTTCGTTGGATTTTCAATTCCGTTGATATCATTAGCAGCCCATTTAGCTAAAGTATCTGCTTCTTCGTTCTTCGTTGCCCAGTATGCCAACATGAGCTGGCACCCAGGTAAGAAGTGGTCTTTCAGATGAATTAAATCTTAGCAATTTCTCTTGAATAACTTGTACAATCGGATTTCTATTCGTAATGTCTGAGATAGCCTGCAGACTAGATAATGAATCACTGAAGATCTTAGTCTTGCCCGATAGATTTCTTTTAACATAAGTGAGAGCAGCGTTTATCGCTAAAAGTTCTGCCTGAAAAACAGTATTTCTGTTATCAAGCCTTCGAGTCCATGTATATACCTTTTGAGTATTGTTAAATACACAAAATGCACAACCTGTTCCACGTTCAGTTTTAGAACCATCTGTAAATAGAGCAATGTCATTGGCTACTGGAGCCGTATAGTATAAATTGACTGCAGATTTGAGTTTTAAAGAGGCAGGATGGCCAAGATTAGATGGAACCCGTAGTTCATAATCATTTACTAGGTGATGTTGGTTCCATAAATCCCCATTCAATCGTAATCGTAGGATCCGTCCTAAGAAAGAGTCTCTTTGAGCCTGCAGATCTAATGGAGGTATACCCGCCAAAATCTGCAGTGAGGCTGTCGAGGTTGTTCTATAACCTTTGGAAATAAGTAATAGCTGATGCCTCTGTATTGAATTCAGTAAGCCACTCATAGTTTTGTTCATATCAAAACCCCAAATGGAGACTCCGTACAAAAGAACTCTTTCAGTGATTGTTTTATACCACAGCCGCAAGATTTTTGGGGAAGTACCCCAATTAAGGCCCATAGTCTTTGTCATGCCATTCGTAAGAACGGCACATCTCTGTTTAAGATGTTTCACATGTGGAAACCAAGACAGCGTATTGCTGATAACAAAGCCTAAATATTTCAAGGTGTTTGCACATTTTATTGGCCTTCCATGGATTTTTATAGACGGATTTCGACGCATTTTTCTTTTCCTACCGATAAACAACATAGTAGTTTTTTCTTCGGAAATTCTTAATTTATGCATGTCTGCCCACTCTACAAACTTATTAATCGCTTGTTGAGCTCTTACTTCAATGTCCTTTACGCCTGAGATAATTAACAGAAAATCATCGGCATAAGCTTGCAAAGTTACTTGTTCAGTATTTTCAAACATTATTACATTAATTAGCGACTAAGTTCCACAGGGTTGGTCCTAAACAGGAACCCTGTGGACAGCCTCTTTGCAAATCTTTTATTAAAATTTCATTATCCAGGGTTAATTGAATTTTGCGTTGTTCCAAATAATTTCGAATTAAATTCAAAATTTCTACAGGGCAGTTTGCGCTATCCAATGCATCAATTATGTCAGGCCACCAGACCGTGTCAAATGCACCACGTATATCAATGGAGATGATTAACGTGTGCCTGTTACCATCCCTGTTGCGTTTTACTGTGTTTAGCAGATTAAAAACAGCCATTTCAGTTGAAACCCCCTTTTTAAATCCAAATTGAAAGTCGCTGATCACTTTATTTTCAGTTAGAAAATAATTTAGTCTGTTCAATATTAATTTTTCAAAGAGTTTATTTAAAGAAGAAAGAAGACTCACTGGTCTATAAGAAGACAAAATAGCAGGATCTTTACCTTTTTTGCCAAATAAAACTATTTCGGCAATTTTCATCTACCGTGGAAATAAAGCCAATTTCCAACATGCTCGATATAAAGATAACAACAATTGGGGGAATTCTTTGAAAAGTATCTTTATGATAATATTATCAAGACCGTCTGGTCCGGGGGGCCTTCTTAGACGGTAGAGAACGAATTGTATTTTCTAACTCCTCAAGCTCCAGGAGGGCAGAGTCACTTATAGTAGAATTCCAAGTTTGATTTTTTAATTTTTCTCGCATTACTTTATGTAAATCCATATCGTCAATCTCCAAATCCAATGGAAATAACTCATCTAAAATTTTTTTATATTTCTCTCCCAGAGAAGTACAGTCCGGAGCTACCTCTACTGGCAGCTGAAGAGGTCGAAATACTCTGTCCACTGCAATCTTTTGAGTGATGCCATAAGGATTTTCAATAGCAGCACAAAATGCCTTCCAAGATTCACTTTTTGTCTTTATAATCAATCTTTTAAAAATTGCTAGTTCCTTCTTATAAGAAATTTTAAGTGAATGCCTTATATTGTCATCCCTTTCTTTTTGCATACGTCTCCTTAAAGCACGAACTTTGTTCCTTTTTATTGTGAGCGAGTCAGACCACCATGATGTAGAGGTTTTAATCCGTACTCTTTTCGACTTATAGGACGCTGTTGCTGCATCCATCAATGAACCAATAAAAAAGTCGTAGTTATTTTCTAAATCCTCTCGAGAAGTATTAGATTCAAATAAATTTATAAATTGAGAAATTCGTGGACGAAGTTTCTCAATAAATTTTTCATGTCCACCATATGAAGTTTTAAATCTACGTTTCAAAATTATGTCTTCCGAGATTCCAATTTCAAACAAAATAATTTGATGATCACTAATAGACAAACCTGTCAACACCCTCCAATTTGTAATAGAAATTGCAAAAGGAGATGAAGCTAATGTAATATCAGGCCAACCCTTGGCTCTGACAGTCAAGAATGTTGGCTCTGAATCGGAGGAATTAAGAACACACACAGTCTGTTTTCGTGGATAAAATCAAGAACTTTAGCAGCCCTATGATCTTCTTGATTTCCACCCCAAAGAGGACTCGTAGCATTAAAATCACCCGCAATAAGCAAATGATCATTATGAATAATATGTGAACAAAGTTCGGTTAAATTGCTATCTAAATCGGCCGTCGGTGGAAAATAAACGTTAGTAATATTAATACTTCTATTGATAAATTGCAAGCGAATTGTCACTGCATCTAAAGTTCTCGCCACAAAAAATGGATTTAGAGGGCCGTTATATATTATCAACGCTTTAAAAGAACCAGAAAAGAATATCTTACTACAGTTTGGTAATCCAATGATCTTGCCATCTTTGACATAAGGTTCTTGTAAGAGAGCGAAGCTGTATTTCATTTCTAATCATAAAATCAATAAAATTTAAAGTAGCTGCCCTTGATCTCTGTAAATTTACTTGTGCACAAGTCAGACCCGAGATGCTCTGAGTAACAGGTATGTTCATTGAGCCTGTCACTTCTGAGTGTTGCTGAGGCGAAGAATCTCCTGCCTGTATAGCGGACATTGTGATGAGCTAGCCTGATGTGATGTCTCGTACTTCGTTCCTGCAGAGGCGTTGGAGTGAGTACAATTGACGCAATTTGCAATGCTTTCGGAGCACTCCTGAGTAAGGTGGCCCTTCCCGCACTTTGCACAGGCCGGTGGATTTTTGCAAATTAGACTTAAATGACCAAAGGCTTGACAGTGATAACAACGCGTCACTTTATGAAATTCTCGAAAGAAGCACGATGCGAAACCAATATAGACTCTCTTCAGGTCCTTCAACAATTGTGCCTGTTCTCTAGACACCTCAACAAGCCAGTTGCACGTACCGTCTGTTCTGGATCTGGGTTCCCTTGGAAAAACAAAATTCTTCTCACCTGATGATAAGAGTTCTTGAAAAGCAATTTGTAGTTCCTCAGAAGTAGTATCCTGAGGAACCCCAAAAACTATGAAAGACACTCTTGGTAGTCTTGGAATTCTCAGGTCCAAATGTTCTTTCTTCAAATCCGAGTTTTCCAAAATGGCTTTTTTCAATGTCACCAATTGCTCTTCCCCTTTACAACGAACAAGTAACTCTTTGGCTCTTGTTGGACGAACTTGTAAAATATTTACTCCGAGCCTTTGCGGTTTAATATTCTGAACTAATTGCGTCTTAATACTGTTTGGCGATCTACTTGTATCTTTAGCCTTGATAATCAAAACGTGATCCTGTTGAGCTGGAATCTTCCTTACCTGTGAAGGCTTCGAAGTGAGCCTAACAATTTCTGCAGAAGATAACTCCGAATTCACTTTATCAAATTTACCGTCTAAACTATGTGAATGACAAGCCTGTAAATCAGGACGCTATTTCCGAATGTGGTAAGACAGTGGCTTGGTCAAGCTGTGTTAACTGATTAAATTTTAACTCAAGTTCCAAAAGTCTTTTTTCCAACAAAGAATTCTTTTCCTCCAATGAAGAGACTCTTTCCTTCAAGCAGGCGTTAAAACCTTCCAGGTGAGCTATGTATAATTCACGTTTGTTTGAATGTGATCTGATATTGCTTACAAACTTTTTAAGTTTCGCTGCATCTTTATTATTTAATTTATGTTTTGCATTGGCATCAACTAAAAATGCTAAGATACCGTCATAGGATTCATTAATAAATGATAGATGGTTCCCAGTTACCTTTTCTGGAGCCAAATCTTGTACAGAGCCAGGAGAAGATTCAAAGACTGAAGAAACTGAATGTGCCGGAGAAAGCGTAACATTAGAATGAGACATTTTATTATAATTCTATAAAATGGGCTTTTCTGCAGAGGGAGTTACTATATAATCATAAAACCCTTAAACATATGACTTAAAAGTGAAACAGAAATAAAAACACTATGAAAAACAAATCGGTAAGCGGAAAAGAACCAATTAAACAAAAATCATTAATTAACAAAAGACTAATTAAAAGTTAAGTACGATTTGAATTATTAAATTAACAAAAAGGACCCCAAGGAACATTATAGCACAGAAATTAAAACAATTATCACTTGACTTCAAGTAGTAATATAAGCATGAATTTAACATATAGTCTATGGAGTTTTCCAGGAAAGAACCACAGTCTCAGAACGTTAAGTTTGACAAGTTCAAAAACATTACTTCTCTAGAGATTATAATCAGTAACAACATATAAATTTAGAACATATTTTCTATGCGTATGGCAACTTCCGGTTACAGACTCTTAAGAATTTCGAAGAACAGTGGTGTAAGATAGCGTCCTTTTTGTACCATAGTATAAAAATCTTAATTAATTATCCTAATTGTGATAAAACTGTCCAAAAATTTTTTGTAAGTCATAAAATCATAAAAAACATTAATATTTAAAAGAAAATTGCAATTAATTTCACCAAAAGGACCATTAATTAATTCGAAAACAGTCTCTAGCTTAATATCAGTCTATGAACACAAAGTACAATGTAAACAAATACAAAATTGAAGATAAATCAGTAAATACTTATCTAAAATACATATGACGCAAATCGATGCAATCCACGGAAGCTGTAGAACATAATTTCTACACCTGTTTGGCACAAAACACGATCCAAAACTTCACAAAACGAAGACCCCATTGCTGGAATCTCGCAACACTAAACCACAACTAAGTATCCAAAATCACCATAACTTTGAAATTTGCAGGTCGAATTTCACAAAATTGGTATCTACTTGATCAGGAACACTTTATGCACACATTTTAAAACATGAAAAATACCGACTGTAGCTATTTCCACCTTTAAAATCAACTAAAATCGGAGCGCGAAGTTTAACGCACACCATCGAATCCGAGATTGTGTTTTTGTCAAATAGAGCTGAGCTTCAAGATTTAATTGAGGGGTATTTTTCATTCCATAGCCAGCCCACCCGCCGAGCGCTAACCGGGTTCGTCGAGTTCGATCCCGTAACGCGGCGTAGGGGTTTTCGTGTTTTTCATTTAACGTGTATACAAGCCAGTTTCCCTTAGAAAGTCCTCCACGAAGGCATCCCTCCCCTTAGGCAGATAGCCCTAGTGTGCTTTGCCATAATTAAATACATCACATCACATTCCATTAGCCATAGCTAAGAGACCTTACTTAAAAATGTGTCCAAAATTGCCTGACACTCCACCTTTCCGTCTGACTGGAAGACATTTTCTGAAAATTTTCATGGTACGATCCAAGGAACCATAACTGATTTAATGAGCCATTCGCGGTTTCGCCTTAATACGGCATGCACTTAGACATGCATGGCTTAATCTTTGAGACAAGCATATGACTACTGGCAGGATCAACCAGGTAGCTTTTTTACGTTCATAGAACGTTCGAGCTGCGAGCAACTCGAATCCACCAATTTCTTAGCGCACACCTTGGAAAATGCGCTGGGAGCCGTTGTCCAGGCGGCTCCCTCTTTTATTTCATACGCACAGATTTATAAAGAAAAAATAATTACCTCAGAACAAAAATGAAGTATTAAGCAAGGAAGAATGGGGTTTAGCTAAACTAAATCTGTGCTATATAAGTCACTAATATAGAATACGTGATTTAGTTATATACATTTTAAGCGTACAAGAAAATTTCGGGAGCACCTAAAATTATTGTTGCGAAATGATTAGCATTACAAAATAACGAAGCACATCATTTTAAAGACTATACTTGTATGTTATTTTTTCTCATTGCTGTTTTAAGTATTTCAGAGTCACCTGGGTTATTGTAACCACTACAGCTGGCTCTGTGGGTTCTAATTGTTAGGTGCTTCTGATTTTCCTTACTCGGGTTATCGTAATAGAAATGATATTTCCAGGTTCACTCAGACGAAGAACACAAAAAATATGTAACTTAAATTAATCTTTACTTGAGAATTAGGATAGAAATGCAGATAGGGGCCAGTTGACTGTGCTAAAATGCACACTTCTCTTTTACTCTAAGAGGCACCATACTTATAATTTTAACATGCCAGGCTTCCAACCATAGCTTACCGTTTTGGACAGGACTTCTCTGGAATCAGATATATTTGCCAAGATTTAAGCATCAACAAACACCAGGTACTGCTTTCTCTCGGTTCTGTCCTCCAGCATGGTTGCCAAACCGGAGCCCGGATTCCGACTGACGCTCTGCAGATAGCAGCCAACTTCAAGTATCAGACAAATCTCTGGCTTGAGTCAAGCTACACCTACACTCGTCTCAAAAATCTGCATAACCATCTGGAGGGAACTAGCTGTGGACTAAGTCAATTGTCATAGAAAAGATGCAAATTTTAAAAAAAATGTTAGTTGAAAGTAAACTAAATTGCCACAAGATGTAGTTCCGTGAATCGTTGCAAAGTGGTGTCATAATGAAGATTATGGTTTCCGAAATTCAGAAGGCTTTTTGTGTGCTAGAATTTGATATAATAAAGAGTGCAATGAATGTCCAGCTAAAATTTAGGACGAAGTAAGAGAAAGGAGGACTATCTAATAAGGCAATATAGTACAACTGGCATATAAAGTTTCTTGGAAACTGGATGTTTGTGTGTCAAAAAGAAAAGTGGGCGGTCAGGTGGGAGTGCAAATGACACTGAACTTCTGAGAGAAGTTTTCACAAGAAGTCAAGAAAATCTATACCCAGAGCTTTACGTGAGTTGGAAATGCCAACACCGACTGTCTTGTTTAGAGAAAAAAAAATTAAGCTTAAAACTCTACCTTAATTACATGCTAAAGACAAAACCAGTTATTTATTCCTAAAGTTTTATCCTAAAAACACGAAAAACAACGATTCCAATTTTGTTTGGCATTGCAGAGGTCAAAGATGATCTTTTGGGAATTTGATATTTTTTTCGAACAAAGCAATATTTCATGCAAATCGAAAAGGGAAAAAGGCGCAATTACAGAATTTAGAGTAAACCCATATAAAATTGTTAAACATGACAGAGATTCTTCAAAAGTCGTTTTTTGTGCCATGTCTTACCAAAAATTTTATAGGATAAAGATGTAACTGTAAAGTTCTTCCTTCAGATGTTGAAGAACTGATTAATGGCATTGTTGCACAGTGAGTCAGAGAACGTTTCTTTTGGTTAAACACCCCTACATATTTTCATCGTGATGTTAGGCATATTTGAATACAGAGCTACCCAGTCTTTGGATTGGTCGTGGTGAAGCAACCGATCGATGTGTGCTAAAATGGCCTCCTAAGTCCCTGGATATCGTCCCTTGTAACTTTTTATGCGGATGTAAATATCCCTTTTCTTCCACATGTCGTAGAACTCAAAAGAAAATTAATCAAATAACAGCCATAGTTTCAGAAGACATGTTCGGCCATGTGTAGGGAAGAGTTCGATTATCGCTTTGACATATGTCGAGTCACATATGGTTCCAACATAGAGCATTTGCAAAGTTAGAGTTGTTGAAGGAATCTTGCAACTTTACCCTTTAAAATTATATAATTTGTTACATTGCAGCGGTACTTCTTTGGCTACAATACAAGTTTTAAAAGCTCCCCTAATTTTGTTACATGCTGTGCTTATTTGTATATATTTGTTTCAATATAAATCACCATTTCCCAATTTTTACCTCACGCCAATACATACAGATAGGTAAAACGTGTAATATTTTTGGTAATACCCGCCCGCGGTGATTTGAGAATTGCCTCTAATAATATATTCAGTAGTGACCATAAAACAAATAAACAGTAAAACTATAACAAAATTAAATATATGTAAATTAAATGCAATCAATTTTTTCCAAGTATTTTTATTCAGATTTTAGCTTTTATTTCGCATAAAAGTTGTTACTTGGCCTTTGTTTCAGCAGTCGATGGTTGAAAAAAGTAATTTTGTAAAAGTTACGAAATTTAACTTCTTATATTCTCTATAAAAATGAAATATTTTAGGAAAAGTTCCTCATGTCAATTGATAAAATGAGGGGCATTGTTATACAGATTGTGGCGGACAGCACAGATCAACATAATTGTTGTAGATTTTTTCAGAAAGGGAAATCATATTGAAAGAATCTCACAGAATTCGAGTTCTAGAAAACCCTGAGAGATCTCAGTATTGCACATAGCCAACTAATAATATTGTTGCGGATTTGGTATTTGAATAGTTAATGTTAGTACAATTATAAATAAAATTGTTTTATTCTCCCGCGCAATGCAGCGCGTGAGGAATATTATGAGAAAGCTAAGCCGGAAAAATTAAAAATACAGGAGAACGCGCATTTAACATTTAATAAATAAACATCTCTTTTTGATTTCGAGAAAGTTCCAGAAAATTTTCGCGCACAATTTAAAATCTTTTAAAAGGAAGAAAACCTCTCAGTTCGTGTGATTTTAGTTAGTTTGTTGTTGTTTTAAGAGTTTGTTTAGAAAACTGCTCTTGTTGATTGTAGCGAATTCTCGGATTAGCTTTCTTTAGCTGTTTTTGAATTAACTTCTGTTGAAGGTTTGAGAAGTTAAAAAATAACTACTGTGAGCTATTGTAATACTGAAAGAATATCTGAGGAAATTTAAGCATGTTTTGACTGGAATGGGTGAACCATGGTCGTAGAGATCGTCAAGAATGTAACGGTCGAGCAAAAGCGACGGCAGAACGCAAAGACAAAGTGATCGCCCGAACACGCTCACAACCTCAGCCTCTGATGCTCACAACTTCAACCTCAGCCTCTAATACTCACAACTTCAACCTCAGCCTCTGATGCTTTTATCCGACGTGTAGCCGGGAGATCAGTGCAACGACTAGTGATAGGAGACTATGGGAACGGGGGCTGAAGTCACAGAAGGCATTGCGCTGGCTACCCATCGTCATTGCACACCGTCAAGCCTGTTTGCAGCGGTGCTGGACGTATTCGAACTGGGATCTAACAGACTGGGATATAATTGCTTTCAGCGATGAGTCCTGCTTCGAAGTGAGTTCCGACGACTAGCGAAGACATGTCTGGAGACGTTCAGAACAGTGATGGATACTTATCTGGAAACTGTCAATGAGACAACCAGGAGCTATGGTATGGGTGCCATTTCATTTGATAGCCGGCCTCGTTTGGTGTGGCACCCTTATAGCACGGCAGCACTTCGATGAGATTCTAGCCCTTTATTTTTGCCCTTCCTTTCACGGATATCTGGGCTTACATTTTAGCAGGGTAATGCTCGGACACACACGGAATGCCTTTCTACTAATTGTTTTCGTGCGTCTCCAAGACTTCCCTGGCCAGCGTGATCGCCAGATCTCTCCCCAAATGAGCACGTTTGGGCACTGAGGAGCCGTGTCCGACCCTCCCTGGATGGCGCCGATCTAACTTGCCGGTTTGAAAGTATATGCCAAGGAATTCTCCAGGAGGACATCCGCCAACTCTACGAGTCAATGCCTAACCGGATTAGAGCTTGCATTAAAGCCAAAGGTGGGCCATTGCATTATTTATTTTGCTTTTGTAGCTGTATTTCCTAAATAAAAAATTAAATTCCTTTCATGCTAGTTTCGTTTTCAATCTATCTACAGATTTTCGTCTCATTCAAATAACTCCTTTTTGGTGTATCAGTTTAATCAGACAATTAAATGCCATGAGATGGAAAAGGAGTGACAAGGAACCAAAATGCTGGAACTGTGGAGTTTAAGGCCACGCGCGAAGGAACTGCAGAATACACCAGGGCACGGGAAATACAGCAAGGAACCATGGGAAAAATTGCATCAAATTAGTAACCAAAATTCCTTAAAATTCAACAATTATTTGGTAAATTTGATACAAGCACCAACCACATGTGGTGAGGAACTTAAAAGATAATGTAACAACTAAATTCAATTGTAAATAGTAGTACAAGAATACACAATTCGATTCAACCTAGCAGGTTAAATCAAACTGTTTGCTAAATTTAATTATGAAAACTATAAAAGCAAAGAGCTTTACGAAAAACTGCTGCATTCATTACTTTAATAATATGCAGCGTATTGAAATTTTCAGTATTTTAAGTACCGTCCTATAGTATATATTTCTGATCCATTCCAAAGGTTAAATACTATTCAATAATCTTCAGCTGTGCAACTGATCTGAGTAAGGAAAAACGTGATAAAACTACGATATTCACTAGATTTGCATTATTAACATAAAAAGATCTCTATGCTTTATTTTAGATTTATCCTTATTGCCAAAACGTTCGAAAAAATATTTATAATTTTTTTCTGTAAAAGTTTATGTTGTATAATTCATTAATTCTTCTTATATATTTGTGAGGTATATTATTTTTACTAATGGTTATTTTAATTTGTTAGCCTTTACTGTCACTTCTGATTTCTCTGGCGTTTCCTTGGCAGGATGTAAATTAGAATGAAGGGGAGAGAATTTAAACTGAAGTAGCGAAAAGGTTAGTCAGAGCGCACACTGTTAATTCTACCAGAAGTTGAACTTTCTATCTCGTCGTCGCATTCTTGCCACCGAAATCAGTATACCGCCAGTGTAGTCTTCTGGGTCAACCTGCTAGGTTAAATCGAATTGTGTACTTTTGTATTGCTATTTATCATTGAATTTATTTGTTACATTATCTTTTAAGTTCCTCACCACAAGTGATTGGTGACTGTGTAAGCACGTAAGTTCATGCCATCTATAAACTGTTGTGTTCAATGAAAGTGTATTTTACACTCTTTCCCTGTTGTACTCATCTTCAAGGCTTTGCAAGAAGTCGCAACATAGACTTTTAAGCAGATCTAGTTACAGTGTATGTTAGCAAAAAAGCCTAGCTCCTACATGGTACTTAGTGAAATATTCTCCCTTTGTGCAAAAATGTAAACTTTCAATAACTACCTTATGAAGCCTCTTATGTTTGTACTGAATATAATTTACACTATCTTAATTGAATCTTCTTGATTTTGCCTACAGCAATTTTATAAGAGCCGGCTTTTTTTTTTTTTTTTTTCTTTTTCTTTTTAGTCCAAAAGGGCTTTGTCCCTGAAAGACTATTGTTTTCGTTTTGCGATTTTGCGTCGATTCACTACAAACGGCGAATCACTTTTCAGACTGTTGCCACAATGTATTATCGCCCTATGTTATATTTAAAAAAATTAAATAATGAAAAATCTGCATAAATGCATGTATATTTCTCGCATTGTGATAAAACACGGTACATAGAGCCATCGGATTTTGAATGACGCAATCTTCCTACGAATATGGGCATGTGGAAGACCAAATTTGACATTTGGAATTTGTTTTATTATCGATTTCCTGTTTTGTAAAACTTTAACGAATTTTTGATTAACAAACTCAAGGATTTCAAAGCGAGCAATGGCAACGTTGTACAGAAAACCACATTTTTATCACCAGCGCGTGAATCTCTGTATCGGAAATTCTAAAGGATATGCTCAATTTAAAACTACTTTGCGATATTGCTGTTGAACTGAATTTTATGATTTAAGTGCGAAGAACGTGATATTTAATAAATAAATGTAACACACAAAATGTTAAAAAAATGCCCCTTTGGACGTAATTTAAAATCTGAAACATTTCAGATTCCCCCCCCCTTTCCTACTTTTTTCTTCCATATTTTCATTTTTGACGGTTTTTCTGAAGCTGGTCCATTTACTTGTCATTATAAGCACTTCTAAAGAACTTAACATTATCAGATAAAGAAAAACATAAAAGTACCATTTATTAAATACGATATTTATGTTCTTCATAACTAAAACTAAATATAAAAAAATTTTATCCCCGGTTCAGGAGATGTTATTGGAGCAATCGAAATCAATAAAAACATTGCAAGAGATTTGGCAAGGTGATGAACGTAGAAGTTATGTTTATGTTTAATATTATAATTATTCAGTATTTGAAAAAAATTATGATATTTCTTTCAGGCTGCGAGAAGTAAGACAACACTGCGAACATGAAAATGACTTTTCTTCTGAAATGCAAATCCTTGGGCTTTCTCATCCTGTGTGCTGCTCATACTCTAAATTAAATATATAATGCAGCAAAAAGTGAATACTTTTGTTGCATCGTTTATTACTAAACTTTCCTGCCACCCAGATGGGATAGTGGTTAGTAATGTTGACTGCCATAGCAAAGAGCGCGAGTTTAAATCTCAGAAAAGTCATGGATTCTTGTAAGAGAATAATAACTGTGCGGCAAGAGGGCCCTCAAACGGTGATCTGAAGACTCATGTGTTTGAAACACTTGTTGACATGCGCCCGGGCCAAAAAGGTCACATCCTGTGTAGAGCACGTTGGAAAAATGCATTTCCTTCCTACCATAACGTGGAAAAATGTCCACAGATGAGATGAAATCTCGTGAACAATGCTATTAATGAGTCTTCGTATATGTACGAGTTAGTTACTCGTCCAAACTTGGTACCACAGTGCAGGGAGTGGAGCTACTGGTGATCAACGTCCAATGGGAATCCTGTAAAGGAAGTGCATCTCCTTGCAAATCAGGCATTGGTGGGAGGGCGGGGCAGAATTGCAATAAGCATAAGAGTAAATGGTAAATATATTTAAAAATGTAATTTAAAGTAAAAAGAACATGGAATGTTATAACGAGTGGCCTAAACATATAATAAGTGAAGATAAGAAACAATAAACGAGGAGACAGTTAAAATTCATAATAATATTGACAAAATACAGATTTTTACTCAGGGTGAATTACAATTTACATTAACAATTTCCATGATGTGATTGAACAGGGCATGCTTTGCTTACATGGTTAAGTTATTGATTTCATTAATTATTTCAAAAAATAGAAACATTTTATCACAAGGATCAGTTAACTCTTTCATTTTGGGCATGTGATCTTTGAAGACGTTATTCATTATTCTAATTTTGTTGATTCCAAAAATATTATTGAAATCAGTGATATTCCTAATAAAACTTATAAATTCAGAATATTGATTTTTCTCCTGTGAAGAACTAATGACGTTATTTGCACTGGTGCTTTGCTTACGATTATTTGCATATGAAACATTAAGATTTTTGACTGCATTGCTAACATCAGTTACATTAAATTGCATATTTGCCTTTACTGGCTGATCTTCTGCAGCAGTAGCTGAACTAGGGAGTTGACCATTAGGTTTATTACTAGAGTGTTGAGCCTGATTTTTCGCCATATCTGCGAAGGAGATTCCGCTTTTTACAGTGCTGTCTTTAATCTACTGGCTATTTCTATTTTTAGGGAACTTTTCGCACTTTTAGGGAACTTTTCGCACTTTAGGGAACTTTCTGAAATCCTCGAGAAGTTGATGGTAGGGAAAGAGGGTTGGAAGACTTTCGTTCCGCACACGGGGTGTTCTCCCCCAGAATTCCGTCTTCGATGGAAACATAGGAGTTAGCAAGGCTCCGTGACACCTAAGGTGCTGGCCTTCCTTCAACCTGTACCTACACCAAACTTTCCTTCCGTTTCACAGATAATCTGGACTATTCTTTTAAATACTATACCTTATTTAATATTAAAGCTGTTATTAAATACTTGACGGAAAAGAAAAATTGATTAATTCGACCTCAGTGATGTTAACAAGGAGAAGTTTATGACACTCTTCATGAAATTTTGAGTTATTGATAATTTTTATTAAAAACTACATCAAAAAGATATGAATCAAAGATTTTGAATTTATGTTTTGCTTAATAACTTGGCAACATGCTATCATTGGAATAAAGTTTATCTACTCAAAACTTTAAGATAAAATATGAATATTTAATTTGATTTATAATTCATTAAAAGCTTAACAAATTTTATTACTAAAAATTGGCACTGCGAAAATAAATTTCAGACTGAGGGGAATCATAGAACTGGAGATATCGATGAAGAATCAGATCTCTCGTATAATTCGAGGAAAGCAAAGAATACAACACTTTCCAAAGTAAACATCATGAAAAACCACGACAGACGCTGAAGATAAGCTTAGAATTAACGCATGCTATATGCTTTTGGATCATTAAATGAACGTGAAGTTTCATTAAATGAATTTTCTTAAATGACAGGCATTTCGTTAAATGAATGTTTTTGAACACTAAAATTGAAAAGTTTTAACTTTTGTTTCTTGCCTAGCTGATCACGCACTATTATCTATAATGCTATATTATATTTATAGCGTTTATATTATACTCACTTGATTTATATTTATAGTGTTTATATTATACTCACTTTATTTATGGAAAATTATTATGATTTTGAAGAACTATTCAAAGATGGTAACAAACAAGACATACAAGATATAATGAAAGTCCAAACACCTGATAAACCCACATTCAACTCACATTCCTACTAAAAAATTGGAGATACTAATATTTTATTTGCTTTGCGCCTTTGTGCATTTTTTAGTTAATTCGCTGTTTGAAACTTCGCGTTTGATTTGATTTCTTTTCTTTTATCAATTAAAATATTTTCAGAACTCGATACTAATGTGGACAAGGATATAAAACAAAACATGAGACTTTAACTATTCACCAAAAGCTGTATTTTATTAATGGACTAGAAAAGTTAAGAATATAGGCATAATAATGAAGAATTTTTTTTATCTAAGTTTTAAACTCCTCATGATATTAAAGAGCAGAAAAGAAACAATTTCCTCTCTGAGTTTGTTACTTCTAAAAGTATGGAATGAATCTGTGAAGCAGGCGGACATTCGGACTTTGTCTGAAAAGATTTCATAGCAATACTGATGATTTCTTAGGGATGCGGGAACTGATTAAACGTAGCTTTAACTAAATTTATCAATAAATCATTAAATATTCTTGCATCTTTTTTGAATTCTTTAATACGTTCAGTACCACTCAGGGAAAAAAAAATCTCGAAATTATTAAAATTTTAACCTGGTGATCGGGCATATCTGAAAATACCGCATGATTAATTAAGTCCTGAATGTGCCAGTTTATCGAACTATTGCTGTATTGAATTAGGATAAATGGTTACAGAAATGTTTGGAGAAACTGCAGTCATCGTATATTAAAAACTCGAAATCCTAATGACGTTAATTATTTAAAATTTTTTAGATTACCGATTCTGCATAAAATATTTTTGTTTTCCCTCTTGATGCTGCAAGCGATGAATGATAAATTTGAAACAGAATTAATAATTTAAACGTGCTACGTATGACCATGTCACAAAAATAGCTTGCAAATCTTGCAAATATGCAAATAAAAATTATATGGATGCCAAACTAGATTCAGTAAAATTATTTCCTCAAAAAATCAATGAAGAGATTTATTTCAAATGCAACTTTATTGTTTAATTTTTCTCCTCTCAAATTTTCAGTAATGTACGAAGAAAGTAAAAATTAAAATTTTTTAAAGATATTTTTTCTAAATTCGCACGTCACGGCTATAAGCTCTAGAAGAGGCCCTGGTGAGACGACGTTGTCGAAGAAGGGGTCAACATTGTCGAAGAAGGTATTTCTTGATAACGATGAAAAATATTCATTTCGCCTGCGTGGTAGTTTGAGTTTTATGTACCTGCGTCATTTTGTGTAACTTTATAATAATTATTCTGCATTTGACTTATTTATTTTACATTGCCCTTCTTTTCCCCCCTACCCTTATTCATCCGCCATTTTTCTAAAACGTTTTATTTCGCACTTTTCTAACGACGCTTGCATGCCGCTGAAAACCTGTAAACAGATTTCATTTTGTTTCAGCTACATACGCAACGCGAAACAAAAAAATAGCCCGTTCTTGACAGTAAAATCAGGAAATGTGGCGCTATCTATTGGATTTAACTTCGATAATCAGCACAAAATTTAAGATATTTAGAAGATTCAGTATTTAATTCCGGTGTACTATTTAAAATATTTAGCAACTAATTCAGGGGCGTAGCTGGGAGGGAAGGGGTTGCTCTGGACGCCCGAGCACCCTTCCGCTTCACCACTATCTGTACTTAAAAAAAAAGTGCTAAGTAATTTTCACTACGTAAGACTTAAATTTTTAAAATAGTGCTTTCCAGCTTCCCCAAAAATACATATGAATAACAAAGAATGACCGAAAGGTCTACTATTTTCAATTTAGAAGTAAGATCAGGAAAAGTCATCCTTCCTCAGCACACAAGCGGCGGGAAAATACTATCCGGTAGCTTTCAGTGCCGTAACTAGAACTCTTGGACCCCTATGCAAAAATTTTTCCTGGGCCTCCCTCAATAAATTTTATGTGCTTAAAAATAAAAATTACAATTTTTAAAAAGTTAAAAAAAAATCAAGGATTTCACGAGCCAGTGTTTTTATGATGAATTTTATTACATCTGGATTATTTGTTAAAAAATAAAAGCACATCCTTAGGGAACCAGTTGTAATATATAAGTTTAATTAGGACTATTATTTCGTTTTGGCATTTTGCGTTGGTTCACTATAAATGTCCGATTCACTTTTCAAATTGTTGCCACCCAATATTATCGCCCTGTGTTATATTTAATGAAATTAAATAAGGAAGAATCTGCATAAACGTATCTATATTTCTTGCATTGGGATAAAACAACGGTACCTAGAGCCATCCAATTTTGAATAACGTACGTTTCCACCCGAATAAGTGCATCTGGAAGCCCAAATTTGGAATTTGTTTTATTATCTATTTCATATTGTGTAAAACTTTAACGAATTTTTGATTAACAAACCGATTTGAAAGGTGTTGGTATATTTAATTATCGCAAAGCACACTAGGGCTATCTGCCTAAGGGGAGGGATGCCTTCGTGAAGGACTTTCTAAGGGAAATTGACTCGTATACACGTTACACATGGGGAAAGCCACGAAAACCATCATGCAGCCAGCCCGTTCGCGGGGTTCGAACCTCGGACCGAACTACCAGTGTTCAGCGACTTTAACGCTCGGTCGGTGGTGGGCTCCCGATTTAAAAGTGAGAGGTGACAACACTTTACGAGGAAAAAAAATCGCGCGGAACTGTGTATCGGAAATTCTAAAGATATGCTGATTTTAAAATTATTTTGCGACATTGCTGTTAAACTGAATTTTATGGTTTAAGTGCGAAAAAACATGATATTTAATAAATAAAGGTAACACACAAAACGTTAAAAAAAACGCCCCTTTAAACGTAATTTAAAATCTGAAACCTTTCAGATTTTTTTCTGAATCAATGCTATATTAATTTTGTTAACTCATTTTATTTTTTAAATGTTTTTATTATATTAATTTCCTGAACTAAAATCTAGAAGGATTAATGTAAAAATCAGTTACAATAGGTTTCTGATTAACTAGCTTCTGTAATGTATGTAGTTTCTTCTGTGTGATTAATCTTTGCCGAGGATAATCCGAAAAAAAGCATACAAGTCTTTAGAGGTTACAAATTATGCACATTGATATTATTAAACCTGGGCTTAATTTAGGAACTAAAGGTGTCAGAATGCCTACTGTAAGCCATCAAGAACAGTGAATGAAAAATGATTATAAATTAAACAAATAAAACAACGAATAATTAAAATCAAATAAAATGTAAAATTAAAAGGTATGTTTTAATTTTAAAACTAATGATATATAAAGAAATAATAAGCGAATAGTAAACTTATATGAATATTGAAGCAAATGAAAAGTAAGAAAATTAGTAAGATAGGATACGAAAGACAAAAGAAAGGAAGATATTGAATACACACATATACATGCAAATACACACATTTACATAATATACACACCTATACAAGTAAAAAAATATCTCGGGCAATTTGGAATTTATATTTTGTTGACTTTTACGCCTGCTATCGAATTTAATATTGCTTAATATTTAGAGTTTTGTTTTTCGCATCGTTTTAAAAATCAAGGATAATGCAAATTTAGAGTATACAGAAATAAACACTTTAATTTAATGATAAAAGAATGGATTGGATTGGATTATTTAATTATAGCAAAGCACACGAGGGCTATCTGCCTAAAGGGAGGGACGCCTTCGTGGAGGACTTTTTAAGGGAAACCTCGTATACACGTTACACATAGAAAAACCATGAAAACGCCCATGCAGCCAGCCCGTATGCGGGATTCGAACCTCGGACCGAACTACCAGTGTTCAGCGTCTTTACCGTTCGGCCGCTGGTGGGCAATAAAAGAATGAAAGGACATAAGAAAAATTTGTATTTCAGGCAGAATTACAGCTGTAAAAACCGAAGATAATGGAATGACA